ATTGGAAGTTGGGTTGTTCGAATAAGGAAAGTCCAATCCGAATTTTGGAAGGGTAGTTTGGTCTTTTCCATACCCAACTTAATTAATTCGTTTTTGGTAATATTTTTAAGGTCTAAACTGATAGGATTCAGTTTACGCCTTTGAAAAATAGAGTTAGGGTTTTTGGAGAAGAATGCAAGAGGAGAGAAAGGAGAAAAGAGCCACGATCATCATTCGTAAGGATTTAGCTTGTGGATTTCACCAAGGATTCAATCCTACAAGGTATGTAAGCTTCCATAGTGTTGGGTTAGTTCACCCACACGCCAATCATGTTATTTTTTCAGCAAAATTTCATTCTTGAAGTTGAAAGATTAGAGTTTTTGAAGAGTTCTTGATAGGTGTTCTTCAACTTCATTCTAAATCTTGTTGTGTTGGGGTTTTGATGATTTCTTGAGATGAAATTTAGTGATTTGAGTGTTGTTTTGAGTAGATTAGAGTGCAATTATGTTAAGTAATCGAATCCAAGTGATTGGGGAAGAAACCATTCGATTCTAGGCGAGTTAGGGTGAGAAAACGAGCAAAGAAAGTCGTCGAAGTTTTCTGGGTTGGGGCCTGGCGTGTCATGCCAGCCAGAGAGCCCCAACCACTTCTCTAAAGTTTAAGGGCTGGCTCCCCGCACCACTCAGAGCGCCAGGGTCTCTTGCCCCCACCTATTCTTCATCGTTTCGTCCGTTTGAGTTCTTCAAAGGGTACCTTTACTCACTTTGACTCTAAACACTCTAAACTACTTCTAAACACCTAGATATAATTCATAACATGATCATAACCTTGAATTCATAATTCAAATTCAAGGTAGATTTAAGAGTAAAGTATTTGAGAATTCATTCGAACATTCTAAGAAAGTCCCTTTGAGTCCTTTTGTGGAGTCTTCTACAACTTCTAGTAACTTGTTTTAAGACTCGAGCAAGTGAGTATCAGAATGATAAGAACATATTCATGAGGATACTTTGTCATCATGAGATCCTTCATATCATGAACCATAACTCTTGAATTCATAATTCACATTCAAGAGAGAGTTAAGAGTAAAGTTCAAGAAAGCCTTTGAGTTCAATTATGAATCCTTTGAGATAAACTATTGATTTGAACTAAGTTTTGAGAAAGTAAGTAAGAGAATGAGAAGAGTCATATACATGAGTTCCATGTAGTTATGTAGACCTTCGAGTCGAGTCATTCATGCCCATAAATTTTGGATGGACTCCATAAGTTGAGTACCTTTGAGAGGAGTAGTATCTTCAAGTTCTAAGTCTTGAGTATTGAGTTCCTAATCCCCTTTGATATTAGATTTCTAATCATGGGACTATTACATGTTACCCATGAAGTCCTTGAGTTGAATTGTTCATTCCCATAATTCTGCATGAATCCTATAAGTCGAACAGTCTTGAGATGAGAAGTATCTTTGAATCCTTGAGTTGAGTAGTTCTTGCTCATAATTCAGCATGAACCCTCTGAGTTGAGCATTCTTGAAATGAGTAGTATCATTGAAGTTCTTGAGTTCCAAGTATTGAGTTCGATCTATGGTTATTGAAAACCTTGCTTTGAGTCGTTCACATCCATAATTCGGCATGAACGATATTTTAAGAAGTCTTTTACAAACGTTTTAACTTTGTTTTAAGACTTAAGCTTTCAGTTGAGTCAAGAGTAAGAGTAAAGTTCATTTCTTCAAAAATTATATGGAAACTAAGTACTCCCAAGAGTAAATGTTTTTACATTTAAAATGAGAGGAAACTAAGATTTCCAAAAGAGTTTTGAGCAGTTTGAGTACCATCTCTTTTAAAAGTTACATTTTTTAGTAATTATCTCAAACCACAGAAAAGTTATGTGTTTAAACATAGGAGCTGAGTATTTTGGGAGTACTATTAAGCACCAATATGGGTACGAGTTTGAGTTCAGGTAAATCACGTCTCCATAAACCATGTAGCCATGCATCATGAGTAGAAAGGATCATACTTTTAGATGACACCTTAGTGATTTTTAGCATAAACTAGTGGATCCACTTAGTTAAGGCGTTCTATATGTAAGTATACGATAGTTCTGGCACCGCGGGCAAGACGTTGTATCACCACTTAGGCTCACAGTGGTGGTTGTCAGTTAGAGAATCTCTCACATAAATTATATTACTTTATTATATGAGTAAAGTTAAGTTTGTTATTGCTTTTCTTTAACGAACTAAGTTGTTTTCCACTGATTTACAAGTTTTCCATATATTGTATGTGTTTCATTACTTATATTGAGTTAAGTTATTCAGAGTTAAGTAAAGCCAAGGTAAGTGTTTCTTTCAGATTCTTGTCAAGCCTATGTTATGTTTAGCATTCCAACTCGCATACTCGTACATTCAATGTACTAATGCTAGTTGGCTTGCATCATCTTATGATGCCGACACAGGTAACCAGGATTATCATCCAGCGCGTCGTTGATCCAGTTGGGCACTCAGAATCAGTTAGTCTGGAGGACTTCTTTTACCTTGCTTTCAGTATTTTCATTGTTAAGATGATCAAGGGTGTTGTCCCGACATCCCTCTTTGTTTTAGAGTCTTTATAGACAGATAGTGATAGTTCTTTAGTCTTATTCATTTCAGTTGTATACATTTAAGACTTGAGTTGCCACTTTTGCTAAGTTATTATTTCTTAAGTTATTGCATGAGTTATTCTTCTTGTGTTTAAGTCTTTCGCTGAGTAAGTAAGCCAGGACAAGGGTTCGCTTAGGGCCAATAATGGTTCTCGAGTGCCAGCCACGCCCAGGGTATCGGCCTGGGGCATGACAGCATCCATCATAAAAGATAATATAAATTAAGATTTCAAAAGATATGGTCTTATATCATTAATAGTTTGAAAAAAATGGAAGTTTGTTTCAGTCCTCTGAACATGAGGACTCATCAATCTTCAAGTGCCAAAGGGATTAGCTAGCCACGAATGTGAGAGGTAGGAGTGTCGAACCCTACATTAGTGAAATATTGTAGGCACAAATATGTATTAGTACATAGAATGTACTAACTGTGATAGAAATGCATAAGAGTTATAAAATCATGCTAAAAGGACTTTCACATGACATGCAATGGTCAAGCTAAATCATAAGATAATAGGGTTAGAAAACATAAGACATCATCATGGTCAATGCAATCTTAACATATTACAAACACTTTTAGATAACTTGAAAGTATACCTAGTTCATTATTGTAGAAAGTTTGCCATTAACTGACATAGATCATGTGAGCTATAACACGAAATCCAGTATATTTTTCGTACCGAAAGAAGGAGATTTGGGGCTATCTAGGCGCTCGTGAATTTGGAGTCTTGATATTGAAACCCTAGCCTTCTTCTTCTTAGAGAGAGAAATATTTGAGAGGATGAACTTGATCAAATTTTGGATTTTTAGAAGAGTGAATTGAATTGGGTGATTTTAAGGATAAAAATCATTATATAAGGCCTAGGGTAGAGGGCTAAATGACATAGTATTGGGTTAAAATAATTGGGAAAAGACCAACATGACCCTGACTTAAAGTTGACGAAGTGCCTCTCACTAGGGACTTCACGGGTCGTCTAGAACACCATAGCTCGTCTAGTGGATCGTGATGATACCCTGCCTTACAAGGCTTCAATAATACAGGAATAACTTTCGACTCAGGGCTCAGAATTTGGAACACTTGGTGGCGTTGGAAAGAGGACTCAAGGATCTTTAATTTGATAGGTCATGGGCCACCTAATACATTTTCTGCTGAAAGATATGATCATTTGAAGTTGAATCAAAGTTCAAAGTCTAATAAGTCACTTTCATGGACAACTTCATGGTCTGTGTGATGCTTCACGGACTATCTAGGTGTATTTGGTTCTTCACAGTGACCTTGGGTTCAACCTCATTGTCTAGTTGACGTTGTATGGACCCCTAAAGAAGTCGTCTAAGTCACCACAGGCCATCTAGGGCACCATCTAATTGACTGAAACTGGTTTTACGGGTCCAACCTACGAACCGTAAGAAGTTCTACGGGTCGTAGGATGTGAACTATAGAACCAAGGTGGAGTGTTTGAAAAATCAAGGCCAGTATCTTTTCTACGATTGATCAGTACGGTCCATCAGCTGATCTACAAGTCGTAGATAGGTCTCGTAGGTAGCTCCCAAACTTAGTAAAATTTAAGACCAAATATTGTACGTGTATATGTATATATATATATATACATACATACAGACACATACATATATATCAAGGGTTGGAAGGTAGGTAACCTATCCTAATGTAAGTGTTAGTGTCCGCTTCGAATGCCCGAATTCGTGACCTATAGGTCACATAGAAAACTTTATCACTAATTCAAGACTCGTGCCGAATGAACATTATACATGTAAAGAAATTAAATCATTGTTATTTTTCATTTATCTTTAGATTCAATTCAACATTATTACATTGTACTAGAAAAAATAAGTAGGCAACGTCCATTAGGAATCATGGTAATCACGTAATAGATGACATTATATGAAAACACTAATTAAAAAATATATATTATGAAAATACTAAATAAACGTGATAAAACACTTGAAAAATAGACTCAAAATATCAAAAAATAAATAAACAAATATAAAAATACATGTGACAAAATAGACCCGTAAAATGAAAATATTAAATAAAAATAACAAATAATTTTTTATTTTTCTTTAGATTCAATTCAACATTATTACTTAACAATTGCACCCGAATAAATAAGAAGACAACATTTGTTAGAAACCATGATAATCACGTAATAGATTCATATAATATAAAACACCAACTAAACGTGACAATACACGTGAAATAGAGTCCTAATATGAAAAATTGATAATACATGTGACAACAATGAGGATTGTGGTATGAAAACATTAAATAAATGTTACAATACTCGTGAAAAATGCACTCACACAACTACTATAAATTAATCAATTGTTCCTCTCAGAATTGGTCAACATTATTCAATAAAAATATCTTATTTTCTTCTGCAATGGAAAATGAGATCAATAAAGGTAAGCAAAAGATTGAGTTGAAGTTCATTGAGTCTGAGAGAGCACGCGCTATAAGTTTTTCCAAAAGGAAAAAAACCTTGTTCCAAGATGTAGAAAACTTTGCAAATCGGAGTGGAGATGAAGTTGGCGTTATGCTTTTTGCACTAGGTGGAAAACAATTTTCTTGTGGTTCTACAAGTATTGAAGATATAATTGACAAGTTTTTAAAAGGGAAACTAGAGGATCGCCAATGTGATCATGCTGAGGGCAAATCAATTAGATTTGAGGAACTTGAAGGTCTTCGCAAAGAATTGCAAACACTTAACGAGAAAGAAAAAAGATGAATATTAATGTATAAGATTACGCACCCTGGCTCAGAAATACCTCCAGATAAACACATGGAGGAGCAGAGGGTGGCAAAGTTGTTGCGGGTAAAGAAAATTTTAAATGAAACAAAAAGTGCTATTTTGGGTGAGCATTTCAAGTTTGATTTAAATGTTGTCCCTCAGTCAGAAGAAGATGAGAGTTCTTGAACTCATAAGTCTCATGGAGTTGTTAACTGAAGTTCTTGATGCTGGAACTATACTTGCAGAAGTCTTTATCAGTGATCGAGTATGCTAATATGATTGTCTTTATTATTAAGTCACTTGTTTTTAGCCTTCAAATATCTATTTATATGAGGTTTTAGGCCACAAAATCGAAGGTCATGGAGTTCTTATGTTATTAAGTCAAATATTTTTCATTATAGTCTTTAATGATGTTTTGTGTTGTCTAGAATGATAAATCAATTGAAATATTTTATTAAAGTAGTAAACAATGTAAAAGTGATGGATCAAAGAAAACTCCCGTACACTCATTTATTTTATTTTATATTTCCATCTTTATCAAGTTTAGTGCATTTACAATTTACATCAACATTAACTCTGTGAGATTCTGAATCTCTATAATATGAGTTTATCTAATATTTATTGTCTTTATTAGTATATTCAATATTCCAAAAGGGATTGTGCTTGAATTTTCAAGTCGATACAAGTATGTAACAAACTAGAGTATCTTTTTTTTTTAATTCTGGAGAGCATAAGCACCCCATACAGGTATGTAGTGCACCCAAAACAATTACATCAGCCTTAGACAATACTTTCTAGATTCCACTATTTTTCAGGCTTAAATTTCATATAAACCTATTTAATAAATTAGTATTCCGACCTAAGACTAACCCCTAGCCATAACTCGGTACTTAGAACCACAAGTGACCCCAAGCTAAACCATGGTTTGGCATGACACTAAGAAACACAATAGTAACAACTGAAAATAAATGAATGTTGATGCTAAACTGAATTAGTCTATTAAAGATCACACACCTTCAAGCAGACATGCATCTGAATAGACATAAGTCGAAGCTAAACTGACTATATGATAACCCCTACTAAATTAAGTTTCTAGGACATGCCCCTAGCTAACTATAATTGTCTAAAAACTGAAAATGTAATATTGAAATGAAGATAGAGGTCCTTGTTGAATGATGAGGACTCACCAAAAGTTCTACCGAGCAGATAACGACGACCTGAATGTTGAACGTCCGAACCTATATTATTAAATAATAAAGTAAAAAATTATGTGGTTAGTACTGATAGTACATTCTCAGCCTAAGCTCCTCCTCTTGCGGATGTTGCATGTCCTTTGCTCCTGCCCCTACCCCTACCCGTACCTCTTCATTTGCCTCTGTCACGTCCTCTCACTACGGGCTCAGTTGTTTGCTCTGCCACTGGAGCTTCTATCCTTGTGTCATTACATCGAATGTAAACCATCAGCGGACAGATGAGTGGAAGAGTTAGATACCAATTTGAATTGTCAGATAATAATTAGAATCAAGTTATTGCGTGAAGGAGGAAAGAAATAGAATTTTATAAATGCAAATACCAGGTATTCTCATGAACCTATAAACACATACTTGGTCATGGGACCAAAATCCAAATTGTTAGTGTACCAGCATGGTATCGGAGCCATCCATACTTAATGTACCAGCGTAGTACCAAAGCCATCCATAGTTAGTGTACCAATGTGGTATTCGAGCCATCCAAAATTATTTTACCAGAGTGGTACCTGACCAACCAACCAATCATGCACAATCACAAGCACAATGAACAATACCATTTTAAAACCACAACTCACAATAACAAGTCCATTGCATGAGATTATCAATATGATGTCATTTTATATGCCTCCTTATGTATTTTCTTTCACGCATTGCATCAATGATACTACAAAGTAATAGACATGCATACATACATAAAACAGAAAGATAAAACAATCATTTACCCCGAATCAAGTCTCTGGAAAACTCTAAAGAATCAGACCTTTCCCCTTTTGAAGTGTCTTGACTTGTTCTTGGTCTAACATAAATAATAAAAGCAACAATCAATCACTAATGGCTTATTAAATACCATATTATCAACAAATTATATCCCTCAGCCAAAATATGATCATCTTCCCTAACTTAGGACTTTTTCTATTATGGAATCATGTAAAAACTTCTCCCTTATCGAAATAACCAAGATTCTAAGGCTTAAAAATCAATGCACAAGGTTAGGGAGTCAGAATCTTACCTTTATCAATGAATTCCGTGGAAAAGCAAGTGCAAACTGCCCAAAATTACACCTCCCAACTCCAAGAATAAAAGTACAGAAAATAGGGATTTTGGGGCTGCTTTTACATAAAATATCATGTCGCCTTTCTATAGTAGGCTCAGTCCGCTATAGCAAAACTTACCTCGATAGAGAGGTTTGCATGTCGCTATAGCGGGGTGCCTCCCCCTATAGTGGGAGAGGTTAAACTTTAGAAACTCATAAATCCGAGAAAAGTCACTTTTTCACAAATCAACTTGTTTCCTTGACATCCCGACATATCATTTCCATACCAAGATCAATTTCAGAAGTTCTTGTTACCCCAATTAGATTTTGTGAGGTTCTATGGACTCGTTAATGTCTTGACTATAGCAATACATTAACCAAGACTCAACGTTACACCTCACCCATTCTCAGATGTTCTTAGACCTCACCTAACACAAATTACGCTTGAGGCTGGCATAGTAAAAAAAATCACTATCCAAAAAGTTTTCTGGCCCAAATTTTTAACTATTGCCCTACTCATAATGACTAGATCGGGTCATTACATCTAGTCATAAACTGATAAAGGATATGTGATTGCTGACAATTTGGTTCAGTACAGTCTTATTGCAATAACATTTTCTATCTAAGCTAAGAGTTATTTCTAATCATTTATATTTCATCATGATTTAATTGTTTAATGTTGTCATAGATATTTTATATACTAGAAAAATGATGAATTTTACATTTAGAGCTTACAATTACCTATTCCATTTTTATTTCTAAGTACTGGTGCACCGAAGAACTGTAACGACCCATTAGGTCGTTTTGAGTATTAGAACATTTTTTACTCTTCGCATAAATTTAAATGGTAATTTGAAACGATTTATTTGACTACGATTATTTAGTTAGTGGATATCTCTTAAGTGTTTAATTCTTATTGGTTGGTGGTTAATGGGCTAATTCCATAATTTAGTATTTCTCTTACCACATGGCCCATGTGTAGAAAGAAATTAGTAACATTTAGAATTTATTTAATTAGCTATTGGTTCATAATTAATTGCCCTAATTATTATATTTAAAAGAAAAGTAGTATCCTCTCGAAGAGGACTTCGCCAATAACCATTCCAACTACATCAGGTTACCATATCTAACTCTTTGTATTGTAGACATGGATAGATTATGTAGTTATTATTATTATTATTATTATTATTATTATATTATTATTATTATTATTATTAATTTTGAATCATTTGGTGAAAAAGAAAGAACAGAATTGGTTGTTGGGGTAATTTTTAATTGGTATATATGATTGAGTAGAGTTAGTCTTAGGAAGGTACTGATTGGTTGAAGAATTTAAAGGTGAATGGTGATTGGAAAGTTGAGACAGTCACTAATGACCAGCAACTAGAGTTTTGTTTGCAATTGTTAATCAATTTGATCTTTTATGTCAAAACTAAATTGGGTTCATGATGTTGCTAGCCTGCCACTAGTTTTGTAACCAGTGGCCTAATTTTTAATATTATAATTTTGTTGTGATATAATAAATCAAGGTTTGATATATTGAGATAAGTAATTAAATATTAGGTGTATTATATTATATATCACTATTAAAGTTGTGCTAATTGGAGGAATTAAGACTTTCCCTTAGGTTTGAACTTTAGAAAGTTGATTATAAAATTAGGTGAGTTTTTGGGTCTAGGCTAGACATAGAGTAATATGATGTCAATAGACTCGTTAACTTACAAATTATGCATATATACCTAATAGATTGGAAACATTTGGAGGCATTGAGGAAAGGAAAAGTGTTGGAGAAGTAGCTTGCTTGACTTTGGTTCTTCGGTGGAGGTAGGTTATGGTTTATTCTATTTGATAGATAGACTCTTAATAGTGATTGATATGCATTGAGTGATATTGTGAAGTTCTCTATGTACTTGACTGTGTGGTTGTGTGGTTTGTGATTTGTCTGAAATTGTGAGACCGTGAAATTTACAATCTTCAACCTTCTCTATCGAAGTGATGCCTTGAATAAAGAAGGCTTGATGAAATATTGTTAATGCAGTGAAAAGTGGTGATAATAAATAATAAATTAACGTTATTATTGGATCGGTGTCACGTTCCGTCATGGTATTATTAGATCAGGGGGTCACGTTCTAACACGCTATTATTGGATCGGGGTGTCACATTTCGACACAGTATTATTGGATTGGGTGTCACGTTCCGACACGATAACATTAAAGAGAAAAACATATTGAAATAACTGAATGTACTCAATCTTAACCATTTCCCAAACGAGCGTGGTGTGGAGGCATGAGTTCTCGTGTGTGTACTTGATATTGTGATTGATTACATACTTGTTTTCGTTGTCACTTGTTCATGTTGTTTGTTGCTTATCACCAACAAAGTGCTATAGTTGATTTTATACTATTACTTTATGAATATTAGTTACTATTTCGAGTCGGTCGTTGATATCTACTCAGTACACGTTGCCTTGTACTGAGACCTACTTGTGTTTTCCTTTTGTTGAGTGTACCGAGTGTACCAACGACTTCGACTCGCCCTCAGCTTTGGTCAGTCTCCAGCATATCAGGTTCCAGGGTGAACTATTCATTCAATCTCATGTTGGATTATCTTGGTCATGGCATGATGTCCTTAGTTTTCGGACATAAACTATTTTATTCATTTATTTTGGTGTCTTTAATACTCTTAGACTTAGTATTTGAAGATTAGATGTCCTTGATGTGATGACTTTCAGATTTTGGGAATGACATATAGTTGACTTTAATGGATTTGTGTTTATTACACTAATAATATTTAAGCTTCCGCATTACGGTTAGTATTTTGTAAGTTGTGTGATAAATATAAGTTGGGGTTGAATTCATTGGTTCGCCGACCTAGGAGGTTAAGTGTGGGTGCCACTCATGACT